TTGCCAAGCGACGAAAACCCAACCCCGATGGCAAACACCGGGGGGGCGCTCCGGGGGGGGTGTATTAAAATATGTAGGTTACCTTCACAGATGTTTTTGTGCCCAGCCGGTTGTCCTCCACTCGCTGGAAAGACTCCACCACGTACATCCCGCCGTTCGAATGTGAGTATATCTCGAACGGGTAGTTTTGCTGTGTGTGTATTTATTTTTCCTAATTTTCTATGAATAGGCATCTCCGCGTGAATGCTGGTGTTCACACGCTTGATGTCTTCGATCGCACCCTTTCTTACTGCTGCAACAGCCGTCTAGGAGTGTGGTCGCCTTCTCTCTCGCCGATAGAAAACTCCGGTCGCTGCTGCTACAAAGAGGTTGGAGGCCGAAGCACTGCTGTTCACGATGGCGGGCTTGGTAGGCATGACTCGCGACGCGAAGCCCTTCTTGGAGGAATACCACATCGGAGGTACGTCCTGTAGGTGATGAACGATGGACGTAAAACAAGTGCAGCACTCGATCATGCTAGAGATTGGACAACGCGTTGTTGCGACAGGTTCGCTGCGTGTCGGAAGCGACTCCTAGCGAATGTAGTTCCCACGCAATCCATTCGCCTTTTCCAGCACATGTCTAGTTGCGGTGTGATTGTGTGATTCCCGGCTGCCCTGACTCCATACCGGCAACTGGCGCTGAGCTGAGGCACGTTCTGCTCTCTCGTTATTTTGTAGCGAACGTCCGTGAACTACTGCCGTATGGTACACAAGCCACAGATGACGTTACAGTACTCGAGTAGATAAAACGTCCGCAGGAGATAGTTTTCCGGTAGATTTGAATTTTCAAGTGCGTTGCCACAGCAAGGCATCTCGGTTGGCCGTGCCACCATGCCAGGTATGGTGTGTACGGCGGCGCAGGTGCTGGGTAGCACTTGGTGGAATCTCTCCAGCTCCCAGTTTCCACTGGTTTAACAGGCAGGCACAGCAGTGATAGAAATTGTAGCAGTGCGTCAGGTACAGAAGTAGTAGGCCGTAGGACGAGCGGTGTAGTGTGTTAAGTTTACAAGGCCAGTTGTGTGGTTAGCATATCTACGATACGACGTCGGTTGTCTGATGCCAACACCTGTAAGCCCTCCGGCTGCTGGTGACGAACACCCACTCACTGCGCATGTGGTTCCAGATGAATTGGGCAAAGGGGCATTCTCGATCGTGAAGGTTGCGACAAGGATTTCCGACCGCCAGAAATCCGCGGTGAAGATCGTGGAGCGGCGAAACCTTGGCAAGGGTGACTTGGAGGCCCTGAGGAGCGAAGCAAGGCTTCTCGGCGAGTTGGACCACCCTAATATCGTCAAACTCCACGGCTGGTACGAGGAGGAGAAGTCACTATATATGGCGCTGGAGCTCTGCGAGGGTGAGCAATGCTGGCTAGGATTGGATCATTTTCGGGTGAAATGTTGCAGCGTGTGCACGTGCACTAGGTTGGGCGAGCAGCTGAAACTGCGGCAGGGTTAGGGTTAGGGTTAGGGTTAGGGTTAGGATTCGGTGCGGCCCGAGCGTTCCCCCAACGTCGGCGCTCACTCACTCCCTGCCTGCTGATGGCCTGCTGGCGAAGCTTGGTGGCTTGATGATAATGTCATCCCAAGATAAAAGCAGACGCACGGCGCCCGTCCACTTGGCAGGCTGGCTACAACTATTGAAGGCCAACGTTGCAGCCAGCACTGTCTTGATCTTGCAACCACGATCGTTTGGGGCAGTGTTGTATAGAGAGGACGATGACATGCCGGAATAATGACCGACTGACGGACGGACGATACAGCACAGCAGAACACGTTTTGTCTGCGTGTGATGGTTTATTTCGTGGTACTTAAGGGGCCTGTGGATCTTGACTCTTGTCTGGTGTTTTCAATATGGTGTGCACTTGTGAGTTTGCTCTTCAGCGGTGCAGTATGTGTAGTTCTACCGCGGCAGATATCCCGACATGTCCCTCTCGACAGGATGTGACAACGGTTTACGGGTGCACCTATCGACACATGAAGTTATTGTGAGTATTGACCGCATTCCGTGATTCGCGTGCTTTGTGGACGTTCTTGGTCTGTATTTGTAGGCGGTGAGTTGTTCGATCGCATCGTGTCCAAGACCTTCTACAACGAAAAGGAGGCGAGAGACCTGGTTCGAACCCTCCTAAGGACGGTTAAGTACCTGCACGACCAGAACATCATCCACCGCGATCTCAAGGTTCGTGCGTCAATGTGCAGGAAGGGATATTCCCTGAAACCCGGTTACGCAGTCGAGGTCTGCAAGCAGGCAGGGTCGACCTGCTCTCCGGACACACGTCCCGTGGACTTAGTCGAGGCATGCAGTACCGTTGCGGGCTTGGTGCGGATCAAGTTTGTGGTTTGCTTGTGCTTGCGTTGCTGTGTTCGCTTGTGGGAACCTCAGGGTAAAGTTGTTTCACAACTCTATATGGCGCGCTTCGCTCAATGACGCTCCTTCACTCCTTCACGTGTCAGCCGATATTACAGTAGGACTCGAAACCTTGACATTGGCAATGACGAAGCGTCGCCCGATATTTATCCAAGTTACAGCCGGACAACCGCTATTGGTGTTCGCCCGTGGCATTATCTCAACGCCGAAATTTTCGTGTTTTGTGTTTTGATGTCTTTGTTGTCCAGCCGGAGAATTTGCTTCTCGTGGACAAGGAAGACAACGCCAACCTCAAGATCGCTGACTTCGGCTTCGCCAAAAAGCACGACGCACGCTCGGAGGTCCTCAAAACGCAGTGCGGCACGCCAGGATGTAAGATGAACGTAGACACGATGGGACTAGGCACGTGGCACGCCGTTTCTTGGGAAAGTCAACATGTACAACAACACGGGCCTATTCATCCCGACCCGTTTGGTGACCGTTTGTTGCTGTTCTGTTCGCGGCACCTAGCCCTAATATTGTTTGCATTGTGGGGCACTATCACAACTGAAAGTAGAGGTGGCAGTCTAGTCAAGGATAGAGTGAAAGAGGAGCATGCCTTCCTGTTTGCTCCATCCTCCTGCCAGCTGCCGATGCCGCTTGGCCGAAGTTCCGCTATGACTCTGTCTCAGACCCACTGGTTAGGTTGCTTCACGTTTATGTATACTTTCGTGCGACGTGACATCTCGTGGGTTGGATCTGTTCGCTGTTCGTTCCCCCTTTCCTTCGTCCCTTCCTTATTCTGTTTCTAGATGTGGCACCAGAGATCCTCAAGTCTACGCCGTACGGCTCTCCGGTGGACATGTGGAGTATCGGCGTGATCACCTACATCCTTCTCGGAGGCTATCCTCCATTCCATGGTAATTTCTACACAAGTGTTTCCATCTCGTCTCCTCCCGCCCCCACCCTCGCTCCCGTTTCCCTTGTGTTGTCAACGTTGTGCTAGAAGATAGGAGCATCCTACATTGTGATGGTATTGAAGACGTTTGTTGCAGTCATATTTTCGATACCGTTCACCTGGTATGTTATACTTGGAAGTGCTTCTACTATTTTATCAATAGTATCCCCGCGATAGTTGTATTTCGTTCCATCATGGGTTGTCGACTGCCCAACCGTGGCCATGGAGTCATAACCAGGGGCATAAAGGAGAACACAAAAGCATTCGTACACCACGACATAGGGGCGGTTTCACTTTCATGTATTACCTCTAGGGGGTGTTGAAGGCAGGTTGCTATGCGAGCCATCATGAGCAGCGCTTTCCCATCATCTGCAACGCCCTTTGGATTGAGTTGGACACGTGCAACCCTGACGTATGGCACCCCGTGCCTCGTCTCGTTCGAACGAGCCTTTTGCATGCACTTTTGCATGCTCTGCCGCACCCATGCAATGGCTGCTGCCACTCACGTTTCCCTTTGACTTTTTTTCCCGACTTGCGTTTCAATCGACGGGTGCCGTACAACGGTGGTTTCCTTGCCATTGCCATTGCCTGCCTGGCGCTACGGTACGGCTGCTGGCTGCTGGCTGTTTTTGTTTCGTTCTGGGACGGATGGGACGGAAAATTCCTTGTGATGGCGGTGAATGATGGTGGGACAGATGATAATCAGGTGAGGCGGAGTATGGGGTACAAGGTACAAGGGGCGGAATAGGATGCACAATCACCAGCCACCAACGATCTCAAGTATTTGGTGTCGACACGCGCGGAAGTACCACAAACAAGCTTTCCTTAGCCCCTGTGAATGGTTTGGCAGTGACTGGTGGCAGCGCATGCCCCTGGCGGCCAACGCAACTGCATACCACAAGTGTTTTTCTTGCACTAGGTTTGTTAACTGGTGCCTGACGCGTGTCGCAATTCTTCATCGACGCCCAGTAGCTGCTACGTGCAAAGTCGGTTGTCCTCCCCCATCCATTGGTTGTGATGACGAGAGCAAGTTTTTTCTGCGACTCACCGATGCGCGAGTGGGATATGTATGTGATGAACTGGTTGTGTTGGGGGTTTGTGTTCGCCTGAAGGCGATCCTTCTGGTGTAATAGTTTTTGCTATGCTAGCCTTGAGCGCTTCCATGCAGACCCCGACTCTTGGATATCACAGACCACCCCGTCTTTGTAGACCACCCGCCTCCGGTACACACTTGCCTTGCCGTCCATCCTCTCCCCCGCCTATTTGGGGAAAATGCCCGCTTGCCCTTGTGCGGGACACCCTTTGGTTGCCTGGCGTCATTAATGCCATGCCGGCGATGATGGCATTATCGGACGGCCAACGTCGATGCATTTTACCCTCACCAGGCCCGGTTGTTCCAGAAGATAAGGCGCGGGAAGTTCTCGTTCCACGAGCAGTACTGGGACCCCATCAGCGACGGCGCCAAGGATCTCATCAGGAGGTGCGTATGGTGTACACTGTGCTGAAGCACTTATCATTCTAGAAGTAGTTTACCTTCCGTCTTGTTTTGATCTCGTCACCACTTCTCCTGTAATGTTATGCTGTGGTGGTTTCGATATTGAATTAGAATTGCCGTGCCTCTGGAAATGCCTTTATGAAATCTGGAGTACCCGCTTTTCGTCTTGCAGCCGTTGGCATCTGACGAGGTTGTATCATCACAGCAAGGAAATTTTTTATTATTCGATGCTTCACCCCGTTGCTTTTGTTTTGTCAAGTGTTCGGGTTGGATTGAGGGGATGTGAGGTAAGGTGAGGTGTGCTCACGTGCTGCACTCCATCGGACATCGGAAGGTCACCGGAACAAGTCAATCTGACATAACAGGAAGAACGCTTCTGTTCTTGGCTTGAACTGCTACCGCTGCCACCACGTGCCACGCGATCGAGACGAACTTTATCACCGACCGCTCTGCAGCTGCCCATCCCGATGGCTTTTAGCAAGTAGATGCTGCGTAACGCACGTCCCTGCTGTGCGCGCCAACTAGCGGCCGTTGGAGGTGGTAGTGTTGGCCTCGTTCGTCACTATAATGGTAATAGCTGAAACTCGGACGGTGCATTGCTTGACATTCGCTTTCCATCGCTTGTGGTATTTTATTGTTTAATTTTCCGCTGGCAGAATGTTGACGGTGAACCCTGTGGAGAGAATCACCGCAGCGCAGGCGTTGGCGCACCCGTGGGTGATGAGCGACGACGATGAGCTGGAGACGAGCGAGTTGGGCGACAGCTTGCAGCGAATGCGCGTGTTCAACGCAAGGAGAAAGTTCAAGTCGGCTATCGCGACCATCATTATGACCATGCAGTGAGTGTACCTTTGCTGGTGCAGCTGGGCATGTGGATGTAGCACGTTTTGTTCAAAGCATCAAAACGGTACTGAAGTGAACAATACTGCTGTGTGCGAAGGTCGCTCTAGGCGTGTCAACCCGTCAGCCTTGAAGAATCTTTGTGCGTGCCGTTGTAGTTAATTTTTTAGGTTGACCCTGAGGGTGTTCCCTTGTTGTTCGTACAATGTTCCTTTAGGTTCTTCACGACTGTAGTTGTTGCAATATAACAGTTTGTCCTCACTCCTGTGGGATACCGCTGGTACGTTGCTGCGTCCCATCAAACGAGGCCGCACCCCTGACATGATTCACAGCCCCCCGAGTGTTGCCGTTCCCACAGGCGTCGAAACAATTCTAATTGTTGGTGTTGAAGCGGCGTCCCTCTTGACCGACGGTCTGAAGCTGCTGCTAGCTAAAATTTCAAAGCTGTGTTCCCCGCAACGACGAATCTCGCCTTTGTGCGTGCTTGGTATACAGCATTAGCGTTCGTAGTCGCAGTATAGTACGGGTAGCAAGCAAGCACGACCTTTATCAGTACTGGGTGGTTTGCAGCCTTGTGTTTATGTAGATTAGTCTATGTGCTGTGCGGTGGGAGCGGGATGTTCTTTGCCAGACGATGCAACCATGCAAAGGTTCTTGGTGCAGGTGGAATGCCTTGGGTGATGACCTTGCTTTTTTCTCAAGCATATCTAGGCACCTTCCTGCTTTGTGCCCCCCTCCCCAAGGTGTGATTTCGCCTGACGTCTGATTCCGCCGGGTGCCGTCGCTCCTGCTTTCCGCTCCTGCTTTCCGGACTTGTGTGCCATCTGCATGTTTCTCATGATGGTGTTTTGGGGCACAGGCTGCAAAAGTTCTTGGCGAGCCGCGACATCGACGACGCATACGAGATCGGCGGGATTCTCGGGAAGGGTGCCTACTCGGTAGTCAAGTCTGCCAAGGCGAAGAAGACCAATGATGAGGTGAGGTCTATGTCTATTGCCGCCATGTTTGTCATGGCCATGACCAATGAGTGGATTTAACCCGTAAAAGTACGATGGCGCAGCATGCTGAGGACCTATCGTGGTGGATTTGAGAGGATGCCCTATGGTCAAAGTTTATGATTGTGACCTCAGGTCTAAAGGGAAAGGCTGCGTGCGCCATCCGGATACAATAGCTATGCTCCCGTCGTCGCATGACACCTATAAGTGACCACCGTTGTAGAACCTTCCCAACACTGCTACTGCTATCATGGAACACGAGTCGATCTTGGTGGTTAATCGTCAATGCCTGCGATGCTCTCTGTCTTGGTGACGTGCACTGAATAGGTTGCTGTGAAGATCATCAAGAGGGCTGGGTTGCCACAGGACGACGAGAAAGCCTTGAAGGACGAGGTAAGGGGGCTGCAGACGCCGGCCAGACTGCTGTTGGCTGTTGATGCATCTTGTGAAACTTGCGAAGGAACATGTAATTGAGACATGACGTGAAAGTCAGAGGGTGATTCCGTTTTTTGGTTGAAGCTGCAGGACGGCCCCCCTCCCATCTTCTTTTTTGAAGTTGTCCGATGTCTAAAGTTAACACAACAGCTGGTGCAGTCTGCCTCCCTCCCCCCCCATGATGTTTGTTGACTTTGTTTAATGTCGTTCTTTTAATGTTTTGATAACATGGACATTCGATGCACGACAGCGCGGTACAGTACAGTACAGTACACTACACTACTAGTGGGTAGCCTCGCAGCCTGCTAAGGGCCAGGTCATGGGTTTGAGTCCCGGCAGAGTGAGTTTTTTTATCAATAAATAAATCCTGGTCTAGGATGAAAGCGACGCGTTGCAAAGCTCGTTGTTAGTAAACCATACCATGGTAATCGACTTCGTAAGTCGCGAGGGAAGGGATTGCTGTACCCTTCTCGCGATAGAAATACCTCAGGCAGGAACCGCAGGAGGGGGTCCAGCCCCCCCTCCTATGTTGTTGTTGTTTCTCACATTAGCTCTAAAAAAGAAAGATTGGGAGCCCGTAGTCTCAAAACCCGGCATACACGACCCCACGAAGAAACAGAAAAAAATAGGGTACAAAAACCACTCGGAAGAGAAACAAAA